GAGGTGTGGCCAGCAGACATGTCATCTCCTGTCACTTCCACTGCCTGCAGTACTTTAAAAAAAAAAAAAGAAGAAGCTACTGCCATCCAGTAGAGTCTGAATTACAGAGATCTTATAGGACACAGCAGAACTGCCCGTTAGTTTCCAAGACTGTACATCTTTAGAGTAGACAGCCTCATCTTTCTTCCCAGGTGTGGCTGGTAGTTTTGAACTGCTGACTTTGTAGCTATAAGGACAACATGTAACCCATGCATTTACATGCAGAATGTGAATTTTCTGTTTCAGTGTGAAATGCTGTGTGGATGAGCACCGAGCTCCCTGCAATGTCCAGGGCAAGCAGGAGACTTACGTGCCCTGCTGATGAGATTAATTGAATCACCCGGATGTTGTCACACCCCATACACTTTTATTGTGGGGCATTTGTAATCTCCTTGGGGAAAAGCAGGGTAATGTCACAAATGGCAGAAGATGCATGGTTCTGTGTGTGAAAGCCCATCTGTTTCATATATAGATTAGTTTGAACTGAAAGAAATCACCTTCTAGGCTTAGGCCCAGCACCAACTCAGGGGCGAGCTATCAGGATAACAAATTATGACATAAGGGGACATAAAATTGGAAGAGCTAAAACAAATGTAAAATCAATAGCTATGATTTATGGGGACTACATTTGATGCCAATCAATCTGTCTTTAGGGAAGGGCTTTTTAAAATGAAATATATAGGACAGACTCTTTCTTTAAAAACCAAGATAGGGAATGTCTTCAATCACATTTACACTTTAATTCATAAAATACCCCAATAACCACTGCAGTAGAGTCAATTCCAACTCCGAGCCGATATGACAGATCAGAGATGCCCGGCAGGGTTTCCAAGGCTGTACATACTTAGGGCAGTAGACTGCTGCATCTTTCTTCTACAGAGAGATTGGTGGGTCGGAACCACTGCCCTATCAGTTAGCAGCCACGAGTTTAACCACTGTGCCCACCGCCAAGGCTCCTTCATAAAATACAGTTTCCTATAAAATATTTTGTGCTGTTCTTCTCAAACCAACATTCTTATATGTAAATGAGCACACATCTGAATTACTCCACTGGGGAGTAGAGAGAACACACTTAATCTCAAAGAAAAATGATCATGAGAAGCTCATTAGGATTATTGTAGCATTACATGTGAGGGATGTGTAATTAGGATACATTTTTCAATACCAAGGGTACTTCCGCTAGCTTGATGTTGACCGATGAAGCGGGGCATGCACACGGAGACCCACCGAAGCATTCCACACTCTAGGGAGCAAGACACAGGGAAGTGTGGATGGAGCCATTGTCAGTTTGCCAATTGCATGTCACAAACAAATTTCAAGTACTTCCAAGTGAAAAATGAAATCTCAAATGACTAATTAGAGAGGGTACTCGTTGCTGTCTGATGCAATAGCCTCCTGTTTGTGTTGGGCAGTCCTTAGGGACTACAGGTATAGGAGCAAATCCATTCACACACTCCATGGGAGGGGTCACTGCCTCTTAAACCAAAAATGAACTTTCAGGTTCATTCCCTTATCCATTATGGTCTTCGGAGACTGGAGTAACAGGTACAGAAGGCATTTTTCTTGTTACTAATAAGGTACCTTATGTTTCAGGCCAAGTACAAGCTCTCTAAGGAATCTAGTAGCTTCAGAGACCAGCTGGTACAGGTTAAGTAATTACACAGTCTGTAATTCAATTAAAATTGGGTCTCTTGTTTTCAGTGGCCATGTGCCCCATTAAGTACCCTTCAGCAAAGTCTCTCTCTCTCTCTCCCTCTCTCTCTCTTTCTTCCCCCATGTCTTTTCTTCCAAGGTAGAACTTTGGTGAGGAAGAAAATGTACAATAGACTGTGTTTAAAATATAAACCAAAACCCAAACTTGCTGCCATCGAGTCCACGCAAACTCACAGCTACCCTCCTGTGGGTTTCCCAGACTATAACTGTTTACAGGAGTAGAAAGTCCAATCTTTCTCCATTGGAGCTGCTGGTGGTTTTGAACAGCCAACCATGCGGATCTCAGTCCACTGTGCTACCAGGGCTCCTGTGTTTAAAACATAGTTAGGGATAAATTCAGTATGTCTTGCTCACTAGACTCACTGCTATCTATTTGACCAAATTGGGTGAGCTGTTACCTGTTTCCAAGGCACATGCATCCTAACTGCCACCCAAGAGACAGGCACGTGAGAATCTCTTTCCATGTATAAACCATAGCTTCAACTCTCCCTAGAGACCTCAAAGGTCTACAGGGTGAAGTGAGTTTTAATTTGATGGTGCTGGCTTGGTGACTGAGTCCCAGGCAGAGACTGTACCTAGTTGAGCCACATCCAATGCTGCTCATCTACATTGCTTGTGGCTTTGCCACTCTCCACCCTTGGGCTGTGGTCCTCCAGGCAGCCCCTCCTATGAAGACATACATCTTAACTCTTTGGGAATAATGAATGACCTTGCAGAAAAAGTCATGAGGTGCTCCTAGTGATGGAAATGATGACAGCAGAAAACTACGAGAAGGATGATGTGTTGTAGTCAGAAAATTGAAGTTTTGGATACATTGTAGGGTGGACGGAATGTCGAACTTGGCAGCGATTCCAATATACACTGTGAACAAATCCACCATTCTTTATAGAGGCACAAGGGGGAAAATATTTTTTTCCCTGGATTTGTGCAATCACGGCTCTTTGGATGGAAGTAAGGCTTACGTGAACTTGGTTAAACTAGTTAAACTGCCTTGTAAGGAGATGCACAGGACATAATCCACACAACCAACATGCAAAAATATGTCTGTATTTGCTAAGATGAGAATGAGCAAATGACCCAGGAAATCTCCTTTGCTAAGAGGCGGTATGACACCATCTGGGGGCTGAAACAGGAGGCTTCCCAGGCATTCATCCCAGTTCATGGGGGCAGATGGCCTTTCATAAGGGGCTGCCAGATTGCCAAACCATCTCTCACTCAGGACAAGGCCTGTTCCCAGAACCCAGTCATAACCAAGGCCTTCCATAGTCAAACCATAGACTTCCATAACCAAGTCAAACCATAGACTTCCTCTCCCAAATCTTGGAATTCTGTTCCCTTGATTCCTGTTAATGTTGGGTTTATCAGAGGGGAGAGGGGGGCTTGCTGTCTGTTGAGAAGTATTATACTTCCAAACTCTGTTGCCTCACTTAATTCTTTTTCTAAAAATCATCCACTTCCTTGTAAATCACTTTTTTTGATCCAAATTTCCTTTCCATCCCTCTTCTATTGATCTCTAAGCAGAGGCTCTGCCCTGTGTTGTGACAGCTCCATCAGTGTCCCTTTGCATCCACCATGCACCACCGCTCCCTCCTGTTCTTTGGTCCTGAGTAACAGGTTTAGCTGCTAAGCCAAAGGGGGATGGGGTTCCATTCCATAGGCGCCTCTGAAGAAAGGTCTGATAGCCTTCTTCTGACAATGTAGACCCAGAAACTCTAGGAGGTACAGTTTCACTCTGACACACATGTGGCCACCAGGGGTCAAAATCGTCTCACCAGCAACTGGCTTCTAATGGCTTCTGATAGTTTACCTTCTGTAGATGGCTTTCCTTTAGCCATATAATACCACCAGTCCTCAAGCCCAGCCAACTCCATCAAACCATGGCCGACGGCGCCAGCCTTGAGTGACCACTGTCATTCTGTCATTGGTGGACTCCTGTCCTGCCGTGTGCTCTGTTGGCTCCCATATGTTAATCTTGGCTCCAACAAGTCCCCAACATCAAGGAAGGTGTCTTTGACTTACACATCTT